TGACCAGGGGACAGAATTCTACAATAAAAATTTTAAAGATTTAATAAAAAAGCACGGTATAAAAATGTATAGTACTTTCAGTGTGCTCAAAGCTACTATAGTAGAAAGGGTTATTCGCACGATTAAGGGGCGAATGTTTAAAGAATTCACTAGCAGAGGTTCACACGAGTGGTTCAGGATTTTACCCTCTGTAATCGATGGCTATAATAATTCGACACACAGAACTATCGGGATGACTCCGATGCAGGCAGATGCACACCCGACGCTTGTAAAATTAAATTACGATGTTGAAAAAACCGTGAAAACAAAATTTTGCGTTGGAGACAAAGTCCGCATTAGCGTGTACAAGGGCGTTTTCACCAAAGGATATTTACCCAATTGGTCTACGGAAATATTTACTATTATTAAAGTGAATAAGACTTCGCCTAGTACATTTATCCTCCAAGATTATAAGGGGAGCCCGATCGCCGGTGGGTTTTACGCCGAAGAAATACGCAAAACATTGTGGCCCGACGATTATCTGGTGGAAAAAGTAATTCGCACCAAAGGCCCGCGTGTATTCGTCCGCTGGTTAGGTTTTACGGACGAGCATAATAGTTGGATAAATAAGTCCGATCTTAAAATATGATCACAGTTACCACGGGGCGATGGACGCGTTTGGAGGTTCACCGGCCAGTCGGCTGAATAAAGTCATCGCGGATATGGGTGAAAAATATGAAAAAGAGCTCGCGTTACACGTCGATTTAATCGAGATAAATGATGCGAAAATTACTACATTTGGCGAACAGTTTACAAAGGAACTAGCTGTACATAGTAGCATATCCGCGGCGAACGAGAAAAAAATCTCGACGCTTGGTGACGGGGCTCGAGTGATTGAAATGAAAATAATGCGAATAGAATCGACGCTCGTACCGACGGTCGATAAATATTTTTCGGACACCAATAATAAAATTGAATCTTTAATCGAGTCCATAGAGATTGTAAATAAAAATAACAAAGATTTGAAAACTAACTTGGCTAACTCATACGCCAGGATAGTTATACTCGAGGATAGAATCGATGGATATCAGTATTCATCGAAGCTCAGTGCCAGCAAGACGTTTTAATATATAATTATCTATATATTATAATATAGAAATAGCAATCGCGCGAATTATGTCGTCAGCTATTCTAGATATCCAGTGTGTGCTAGGCCCGAACTCGAAATACATGATAAAAGAAATGTCGGTAGTGGACTTAGAGGGGCTGGCTAGTCAACACTGGATTTTTAAACACTCGCGGACACCCAATACAGCGAAAATCGAAGCCGTCAATATGTGGTTGTTTCGCAACTATCACCAACTATCATGGGATTGTGGTGATGTCCAATATACAGAAATCCCGCGGATTTTGAATTCATTACATTTCGAATGCATTTACGTGAAAGGCGAGGAAAAGCGACAGATCATAGAAGGATTCCTTCCCAATGTCAAAATTTACGAGATGGGTGTAGATTTGGACTGTCCACGACTAGATCAACTACACGAGGCCGGTTTTGCCGGAAATAAACAACACGAGCCGTGTTGTTTACACCATAAGAATTTAAATTATACACAGTGTACATATAACCGAGCTTTCAAATTGTTGAAATGGTTTAAAAAAAATACGTGAAATAATATGCTATATAATATATAATTTAATTTAATTTCTGTACATATTATTTATGGAATAAATGTATATTATATTATATAATCGTGTGCTGCGTTTTATTACACAAATATATATGTGTGTGTATGTATTTATGTATATGTATATATATATATATAATTGACATCTGGGTTCTACGTTCGCACGGTCTCACGGCCAACTCCGCATTCCTTAAAAATTCTTTTAAAAATAATTTGTAGAATAATATAATATACACGGAATTATATTTCACCCTTATATTATGGGCACGAATATCGAGTTTAGTCCGCTCAAATAGCCACATCTGGCGACGGACATAGACGGGGTATGCCCGGCTGCGTTGGTGTCCCGGCGGACACACATGGCCAAGACAGTGAAGGTCGGGCGATTCGACGGACGGACGGATGCACGTGGTCAAGACGACACATTCCGGTATACAACGCGCAGGATCCGCTCAAGGATCAACCCTTTTTCACTGTAATTTACACATGTGTGTATATCTATCGATACAATATTGCGCACGCCGAACGGAGTAGGTGGGGGTGGACGTCGATGACGATGGACACTTGTCCGCTGTCCACTCAATATTAAATCAGTCCTATTTTCTCACCCGCTCAAAACAGTCCTCTCGTCCATATAGCCAATATCGCCCATCAACAAGTTCCAAATATTCACAAACACCGCCGTTCAAATAAAGTGAGTTTTATTTAATTATTATTACATGCAGTCGTATTACACTAGTGTAATGTCTATAATGTTTAAAATATCATTAATTTATATTATATTATACGAAATTAACAGGAGTTATATTTTTCAGTTCTGAATTCATTACCTATTCACATTCAACTATATCAAGGCGACATCATCACACGACTCTGCACACACGTCTTCTAATTAAAAAAGTGAGTTAATTTAATCGATTAAATAATTGTATATACAATTGTTTCAAACGTCATTTTTATTCAATATTAACAGTCGATATTTTTAAAAATTTCAGTATTAATATCCACCAACTCAGTACCAGCATCAAATTTTCTAACTTATTCAAATTTCTTCCTAAAATCAAAGTGAGTTAATTTTTACTTTAATAATAAAAATAACTATTCTCGCTATGCGTTCACGTTTAAACAAATTATTTTATCTAACAATTGGTTTTCTGTTTGCAGTTTATTAAAAATGGCATTTTTAGAATCGCTTAAATCCCAAGTAAACAACGTGAATATGTCAATCGGGGAGTTGGTGAAGGATGCGCCGTATCCTGTGAAAACCATGAAAAACGTGGAGACAAAGTACGGGACAGCTGTCACGTGCATATTGTGCAACCCCGCGGGAACTGGCACGATCAACGTATTTTTACCGAAGTCAGTTCAAATGGGTGATGGGGATATAGCGGCGTATAATATCGGGAATTTGCCCGTAGTGAGCCTCATTTATAGAGGAATGAATAATAAGAGTTTCATTATAGATTTCCAATGAAATCTCTAATGGAGCTCTTAAATATGAATATTACATTTGTTCATATTGTATATTCACTATATTATTATTTTAATAAAATAATTTAAAAATATGTTTTTATTTTCATTTTATCTAGATCCTATAGTTTTAAGGAACGTATAATATAATTATATACATTTAACAAGTTATATAATTATTTTGTCCGAGATGAGTTTAAAAAATATATTATTTAAAAATTATTATAAGGTTTATCCTCGCAAATACGAGATGGTGAAATATTTTATATTTATAAGGTTTTATTATTTAATAGTCGTCATTTGTATACGAATTTAGGAGACGTATAATATAATTGGATACATTTTATTAAATACTTATAAGGTTTATATTAATAACAATATCGATACGCATTTAATGAGTCGTGTAATATTTACTTATAATATTAATTAAATGGAGTACTAGATGTCTTGACAATAATAATAATAACAACAACGATGGTAATTGGTATTCTACGGTGAAAATCTATTATCTAGATTTGGAAAAAAAAAAAAAACTAGACTTTAATATTCTAAATAATAATATACTTGATGTCTTTACGACATAATAATAATAATAATTTGTATTCTACGGTAAAAATCTACTATTTAGATTTGAAAAAAAAAAAAAAAAAAAAAAAAAAAAACTAGACTTCAATGTTCTAAATAATAATAATTTTTTATTTTACACAATTATTTATATTACATTTTATCATTAAATTTTGAGATCAAACGTTTTTTCCAGTGTTCAGCACAATTATCTTTAGGGTCACTGCTATCCCACACGTAGTCAGTCGTTTGCCCGGATTGTATATCATCTGAAAATATGAGTTTTTTATTTTTTTCTATAGTCATTTTATTTATATATTATATAATATATATATATATATATATATATCAAGACTCACTTAATACTTCCACTTCATCGGGAAATCGTCCGGACAAAAGATCGAGTACCGCCAGTGAATAATTAGAGTCCGGCGTCTCCCACGTAAACTGTTGAGCGTCTTGTAGCAACGACTGACTCAAATCGGTCGTTTTCCACGAGAAACGTTGGCCGGGGTTGAATCCCAAATCTACTGGTGGCTCGACTATGCGTTCGACTACTCGTAACGTGTAATTGCGCAGATCGTGCGATTCCGCGAATAAATCAGGTGACTAAAAATGAAATAAAATAAATTTTAATTTAAGTAGAGTGGTATAAAATTATAAAACTTACCGCGCATCGAGACTTGAGCCCATAATCGAAAAACGAACACTCCTCTGACGACATATTAATATATCGTTATTACACGCGAGTAAATGTTTAACACCAAAGACTGACTGACTGACTGACTGACGGAGAAGTGCTAGCCATCAGAACACCGTATGTAGGCATATCAAATATCCTCGCCCCGCTTCTTATCACAGCGCGAATGGGCGGGGGTTTTTTAAAAATAATAATAATAATAATAATGTTGTCGAGACCTCGGTAAGATAAGGGTGAGTATTAGATTTAGAGAAGGATAAGAAGATAAAGATGAGGTAAAATATGATAAGGATGAGACGATTAGGTTGGCGATACTAAGAGAATAATTTAAAAAACCCGAGATTTAAATACCAAAACGTAGTTAATATAATATTTTAGCATCGTACACTCTCATATTTTTATATACAACGGTTGTATTTCACGATTATACATTATACATATACATATATGTTATCAGGTATATAAGTATGCAGTAGTCACATTTCACGATTATACAATTTATACAGATATTTTAATAGATTATAAATATATATATATACAGATATGAGATCGTTGAACCTAATAACAATAACAATAATAATAATAACAATAATAACAATTTAATAATTTATGCGGTGATGACCGTGCGCGTACGTCGAAATGTTGTCCGGCAACACGTAACGCTTGTCGTCTGCCCTGTTCAAGACGAGTTTCATAGATCTAATTGTGCGTAACTCGTGCTTAAACGAGCGTATAGACACATTTTCCCTATACGGCGTGAATGGCATGTAGCTGTAGACGTGGGATGGATGCGTGACCGCCGCCGCCGCAACCGTCGTCGACGAGTTGGTTGAGCCGGTTGAGGCGTTCCGATGAATTTGAGCGACAGCTTTAAGTGCGGAATCGGCAGCGAACATTTTCCCCATATTTGCGTCGAATTCGTCGTCGCACTCGTCGGATTCCGCATCGTCGTCCACGTCGGCAAACAAACACCTCTTATGCTCGGCGAATGTGAGGTGATTTCTAATAACGTGCCTCATGACACCCTTCGAGCGAATTGTGACCTCCTGTTCCACGTCGTATGCATACGATTTCGCTCGTAACGCGACATACTCGTAGACTGTACGGGAATTGGTTTCGTTTTTAAAAAGACCCGGC